GAGAGAGAGAGAGAGAGAGAGAGAGAGAGAGTTTTGTTTAATTTAATTATTTTAAATATGAAAATCAAATTCAAAGATTTCTTTCACACGACATAACTATTGCGTAAATTATTTCTGATATAATACTGTATTAACTTTATATTAAAAACATTTTTATGATGGCCTAAAACAAGAATTCTTGTGATTATTTGTCAAAATAATTTAATTAAAATTCCCAAAATATTTATTAATTATTTATTTAATTAAATACCATTTTGTGCAACAAAGACAAATTTTAAAACAATTATAAATATAACATTTATGGCACATATTGTATAACAAGTACTGCCCAAACACTCCTTCCCATCAATGTTATGGTGTTTTGCCAAACAGTAGTCTATATAGGCGTCAGAATTGTAGACACGAGTGATTTGTATTGATTTCACAAATTGAGAGAAACTGTCTGTTGCTCTCAATTGTTCAATATTTGATTATTTCAAATACAATACTATATAAATTGCAATTTCAAATAAGATAGTGCTTTAAAATGTGTACAAAAATTTATATATTATTTTTTATATTGAGTTACGCGAAGAAATGTTGGCTTTTTGTGACTTTTCTGACAAACGCCTAATAAAGTTAACACTATTTTTATGTATGATTTTTTTTGCCATTTGATTCGTGTTTAAGAAATGTTAACTTATTTTCAGAGATAAATTCCTTGTCTGTCAGAGACATTACGTTACGATTTTTAGCCACATTTTATTGTAACAAAAATATTATTTGATTGAAATAACAACCCGAGAGATACAGCAAACATTTTCTGCCAAAACATGCATTTTTGTGTTGTTTTCATAAAACAAGGAATTTCTCAATAAATCTAAATATAAGGCATACAAAACATATACCTTTAAAAATATCTAACTTGTAAGACATATACTTGCGTTAAATCTGTCCAAACAGTAAAATTCCGATTCTGTAATACAAAATATTTATCTCAATTGTGAACCAAATGTTTAGAAAAATAAAATAATAATAAAAAGAGGCAAAAGGAAAAATATATTGAAATTCAATTGTTATCTAAACGTAAAATGTTTAGTAAAACAACAGAATATAAAACTCAAGCTTTAAATAAATAAAGCAAATGTAGTGCTTCTCCACTCTTCAGCCGTTACTATTGTTTAGACTTTTAATATTTATGTCTCGGTATTGCAATTGCAGTGCCTTTTCTGACCCTTAACTCTACGATATTTATTCAACGACTTCTTGAACAAGCATTTTATTGTTATCATCCAATCTTTTAGCTCTTATAATATAATTATATAAGAATTTATTGAAAATGTTTGTCTTTAAAGTCATATAAAACATTTTGCTTCTCTGACTTATGGCTATTACTATATTTATATCTTTTATAATGTCTTTAATACACTTCAGAATTGTTAAAATCAATGAATTTCAAAGAAATTAAATTAGTTTAGACTTCATTTGTATTTATGCCTATCTTTCTAACGATGTTTACAAAAGGAGAAAATTAATTCAAAAAAATGTTTCATCAAATATATTACAATACATGACAACTTATTATTTGTTATTTTTCTCTTCGTTATGAACCGAATTGCGTTAAAATTGGATTATATTTTCTTTAGTTATAAAAATGCCTCAAAACATAATTTTATAAATTTGATAATAAAAACCATAAATCCGTGTGATTTTTACGATGTTATGGCTAGAGTTGACAATTATTTTTAGAGCATCTTTTGCTAAACACAAAAAAAATTATTGCATTAATATTTGTTTGTAATTCATATCCTTAATATGTTTTCATAAGTATAGATTCATGTTTTCAAAAATAAATGTCACATTTATATTAATAGCGTGTTTACCAAAACTTGATTACAATCACAGGAATTTTTATATTATATATTTGAATAAGTTATGAACTTTTTGGTAATTGATAGAGATGTATGAATATTTCCCATGTTATTTTCATGAGTTACCAATTTTAGTAACATTATTTCCAAAATATTTACCATAACCATCATTATAACCAAAATTTAATTGATGGCCACAACCACTGGAATTGCCATTAAATTTAAACACAGACTTCATTAACAATGAACACACAATTTAATCATTCATTTCATTAACTTATAAACTCATTGAACGTCAAACACATCTCGTGTTTTCGCTTCAATCACAACCAGATTTACATATATTCTGGTATTAAGTAATATATAGTCTATATTAAAATATATAGACTTAACATCCATACAGAATATCAGGCCTGAAGGTCAGTTCGTGTGCACTCAAATTCTTGTCATATGAAACCAAAGACACATTAATATTATTTTTGGCGATTTCACTATAATTGAGCCCTATTTTCAAGCCATTTATTGAATTCTCTGCCCATTTATCTCTATGTGTGGACCCGAAACCCATTGGACGGACAGATACTACGCTATTATACATCCCGTCAAATGCAGAGCCACTTTCAACATGAATTACATGAAGAAGATCATTATATTCATTTGGGTCATGTCGGTGCTGTTGGCGGCACCGGTAATCTTCATTCAGGTATTAACACTCATACCATTGCAATCACATTCGCCACAGATATCTAATGATCCTAATTATAGCCTAACAGAGAAAGACAGTAATTTTTGACCATTCCTTCTCTCCTAATACTATTCACTAAAAATCAATTGCATTAACAAAATATAATATTATATTACATGACTATTCATATGGCATATTATCTCACCGTTAGGTTCATATGGAAGTGGGTTTGCGAGTGAAGGCCTACTGGTGTGTTAGGGACTGGAGTCAGAAGGTGTGGTGGCCGGTGTACGAGTGCTATATGATCTGGCTCATTCTCATACTGCCATCGCTGGTCATGGCCTACACATACACCTGTATTTGCCATCAGCTATGGATAGTTGTTAAGCAAAGGGCTAATATGGTCTGCGGCCGCGACTCCTAGTAAGTGATTGCCTGCAGTAATAATACTACTGTATCTATAAATACATTACATTTCACTCCCAATTAAATGCATGTTATTTGACGTGATTTTCGCTAAGAATCAAATCATTTGAAATGAGATCATAAATACTATACTCTATGGGAATCTTCAGTAACAATGAGATAATTAATTACACGACTAGAAAAAAGTTGTTTGATTTTCACACTCTCTTTATATCGTAGAGAAGAAGTTTAATTCGTTTCTATTGAATGCTATTTAATTGATTTGACAATAAAAATACACTTTCTCTTCGCCTCGATTTAATGAACTCCAAAACACAACACATAATAACAAAAAGCATATAATAATAAACACAACAATAAAAAGAAAAATGTGTGAGTTTTACGAAAACATTATCCCTGACAACAATTGAGTGTGACTTTAATTTATGGGACAATCGTTTGTAATACTATTTTATAATTGAATTCAACATTTAGACTCTAAATTTGAGATCTAAATTTGAGAGAGAGAGAGAGAGATGTGAAAAGAATAGATTTTGTTGAAAATGAGTTAAAATAATTATTTGTTGAAAAGAAAAATATTTGTCAAAAGTTTATTTAAAGAAAAAAAATACTTTCTTTCTCTTATTTCTAGTCTTTATTCTCAAACACTTTCTATTTTAAAATCTCTGTACTTATTGTTAGAGATTTTTTGTGTGAATTTAGTTTTTTAAATGAGAGAAATTTGATTCACAATAAGTCAGGAAAAATTTGTGTCAAATTGTATTTCTCGAAAAATTTTATCGATACGAATGGCTGAAGAATAATAAGAAGTGAACAGTACTTTAATCCACAATATGTGTTGGCTTTCAATAACTATAAATAGAAAGCAATATATTAACTATATTGCAAAGTGCGAGGGATGGAGAGAGAGAGAGAGAGAGAGAGAGAGAGTTGAATTTGAAATCTAATTCATTGGCAAAGACCCTAGAAATAAGCAAATATGTGTTATGCATCACTGGGTAAAGCATGTGATGATCGTATGATCTTTTAATATGAAATACCTGTTCATAGACCTAACCCATGATCACAGTTGTGTTTCATTGAAATAGGAGTTAAACAAGTTTTAGTTTTTAATGAAAACACGTGTTATAACAGAAATGCAAACTTAAATGAAAAGTCATTTTATTTTGCATTGAGTTTCAATTCATTTCAATTTTAATTTTTAATTATTGTTTGAAAATGTGTTTAAAATAAATGAGTGTTTCGTTGATTGAAATGAAGAGTAAATTAAATGCAATGAAGAGTTTGTGTGAAATAATAGACAAAATTCAGTGATAAAGTGCTAAACAATTGTCATATTTTGCATTGAGTTTTAATTTTCAGTTTTGTTTATTTATCACAAAATTAATAACAAACTTTTACACAAATTTTAATTACTCACAAAACAACTAACTTTACTTCTCATTTAATTTACGTTACTTCTCAAACACACTTTATTATCTGTTTTAAGTCACTATTCGTTCTCTCATTTAACACATTTTTTAACACACAAACGGTTAAACTTTAAAGCAGAAAACATCGACAAATTTTTAGTAGTTAAATGTAACCAAAATATCTAAAAATTATAGATTTTTAATACGTTTTGTCAAATTATTATAATATTTTTAAATTGTATTTCAATTTCATTATTTTTTATAACAATCATTAAAACATTTTGTATCAAATTATTGTGTGAAAAAATTTATACTTATTTTTCAGTGATGCATAACACATATTTGCTTATTTCTAGGGTCTTTGGTAAGTAGTTTTCAAATTATAAACTTTGCTTGCTCAAAACAGTCTAGCGAGTTCTTTTTCTTTGCTGGTCTAATGGTGGCCGATATGATTGTGTTTGCGATAATCGCCTACTATTACCAGCCATATACAGAGCTGTCACCCTATTTGTCCAATTTTTGTTATATTTTGATTTATTTAATTTTAAAATGAAAACGAATAATCTTTTAAATCTATATGGATTAGGATTTTATGTACTTATATCTAATGTATCTAATCCCGATGTGATTGGTCTTCTAACTACCCGTCGG